GCCACGACACGTTAATTAAATGGGTCAGGTTAGGGTCTAACATTTTCAACTCGTTTAGCTTTTCGACACGACTCGAACCAGACGCAACACGCCATGATTGCCACCTCTAATAAACACCCCCTAACCATCTAAATCAACTACAACTTATGTTATTATCCCGCTAAACATATTAATATATATATATATATATACTACAAATTTTTTCTAAAAAAATTATAATACTAAAATTTTTTTGAGAGGCATCCCGCGATACTCCTGCTACATCGGGTGCCTAAAGTGGTTCTTCACCCGACATGGTGTAATAGGTACCGAACTACTTTGATGGAATGTCTTGTAATCAATCCATTTTATAAGCCATTATTATCGTCTTTTCCAACTTCCATTTAATATGCAATTAAAAACAAAAAACAAAAAAAAACAAAAACAAAAACAAAAAACAAAAAAAAACAAAAACAAAAACAAAAAACAAAATATAGAAACCAATATTTCTTAAATTGTCTCCTTAAAGAACAAAGACAAGAGTATTTCTAAAAATCCTAGAAAACATTCTAAGCAAAATAAAGATTAACATTGACTTCTTGGATTTTTTGAAACCGTGATAAAAATTAACTCGTAAAACTCACACTAACTGCTTCATATATATATATATATATATATATATATATATATATATATATATATATATATATATATATATATATATATATATATATATATATATATATATATATATATATATATATATATATATATATATATATATATATATATATATATATATATATATATATATGTGTGTGTGTGTGTGTTTATGTGTGTGTCTTTTTAAGGGTATATAAGTTTAGGTACTCAAACTCATCATAATATGACACTTTGTTTGATATATTCATTATAATGTTTTTAAACTTCAATCTCTTGATTTATTTTCAAGATTTTTAAAATTTCACTATTATCTTACTTTTACATTACATCTTTTTGCAAACACCTACTAGGCTATACATATTATAGTTGAAAATGAAAATTATGTAAAAGGACGATAAATATGAAATTTATAAAAATCTTGAAAGTAAATTAAGTTAGAAGTTGAATTATAAGAAAATTTGACAATTACAGTATATATATAATACAAAACGACGTAGTATGGTGAATTCGAGTATCTAAACTTATATACCCTTCAGGGTATATTCATTTTTCTCATATAATAATTCATAATATAATCGTTACTTTGTTATTAAAAATAGATTAAAAAAGAAGTAATTGAAAATTTATTTATTAATTTATATGAGCAAAAGAATAAAAAAATCAAATTAATATATGGTAAAAGATAACTATACATCTTTTTTTTTTTTTTTACATTATTTGTATATTTTATATTGGATTTTTTTATTAAACAAAAACATTGTCATCTTCTAAGTCTATGTCTTTATCGAGAGAAGGGGTTGTTAATAAACTTTGTGCTTGTTTTTTCTTATAGTATTATTGATTGTCAAACATTCTCATCAATCATGTTTTTTTATTGATACGAGATGTTGTAGATATTCCAAAATCCATCAAACTAGTCGTTCATATGTAAACCTCGACCGATAGTTGTGTTTGCTTTTTCTTCAAGATGATATAGTTGTACCACTAACACAAGCAACAATGGAAGTTTTAAATATTAATAAATCACTTGAAATAACATACAAAACCAAAAAAAAAAAAAAAAAAAAAAAAAAAAAATCTGGTTTATTTCCTTTCCATTATGTCAAAATATCATGATTTTTAATTTGCCAATTCATAATTAGAGGAGGTGGTGGTGATTGTCTAGTGTGATCATCAACTAAATTGTTATAAAGTTGTTACATTATTAGTGTGTCTACAAGACATGTGCCTGCACGCTTCATTCTCCAAAAAGTTATGTATATTTGTATTGGTTTGGTTATTGGTACTTGTCATGAAATATAAAAACTAAAAACATAATATTTTCTAAGAATACAAAACCAGAGAGTGTTTTTTGAATTGTGTTGAAATCAACCTATCTCATCAACATTATTATACATATAAAAACCGAGAGAACATGATATTTTCTTATTATACATATGCAATGAGTTCCAAAATGTTCTTTTTTAAAGTTGAGCCTTTAATAGTATTTTTTTATAGTTGCACATCTAAAGCAAAGGCCCGATTTTGACTTGGAATAAACTAAACCCATGTTTTTAACCAAACCAATTACAAGCCTTCCTAAATGGTTTTTTAAAGATAACTGCTCCACATTGGAATCCATTTTTGACCATTATCACCTCAATGTTGTAATATACATATAAATGGTTTCATTTGGTTTCAACATACCTAAAACAGTCTTTAATCTCCGAATATTTTGTTTTTATTTTTCATGGTCTTGGCTTTCATATTTATATGCTTGTATCAATTTATTTGACAATGTATTTTGTTTCTTGTTTTTTCGTAAAATTGGCATCAAAACAATCCGATGTTGGGGCTTCTCATCCTCAACCTTTTGTTGGCATGGGGACCTCACAAACCGACCACATTGTCGAAATATTGCCATGTAATGAAACACCATATGTTTGGGTGCATTATCAATTGGTTAAAATGTCTAAAAATGGTGTAAACAAACGAAACGATATGAACAGAGGTTTGTTCGTGTTCATCCATTTAACTTTAAAGTAAACATAGACAAACCAATACAACTCATTTATAAAGTTTACGAGTATTGTACAATTTACTAATCTATATTCGTTGACATTGTGGAAATATAAGGAAACACTAATTCTGATTTTAGCCAACGTGGTCCGTGATTAATTTATCATCCAAACTTTTAAAGTAGCTTCAAAATATGTCTTTTCTTTTAATGACGAGGTTACATCACAATTAGTGTTTCATCTTTATATTTCATAGTTGAAATGGGAATAATATTAGAATCATGTAACTCATTTATAGAACCAACAATATGCAACCACACATCTTGTATCTTGCATTGTTTTCCATCTACTTAGATAGAATGGAATGAACACAACATATCGTGACACTCAGGCCCTATGATTGGAATGATTAAGTGGAAATGAAAAACATGAACAAGATTAGTGTAATGAAGACGATGAAAGATGAAAACGAAGACTTTAAAATTTCTTATTTTCGCTTTTTTGTATTTTATGATCAAACAAAGTCATAACTATTTGTTTGGAATAAATTGTTGCAGAAAATACAACACCACAATACCTAAATACCACATGGCTTTGGGTGGGCCTAATAAAATGACTATAATGGAGTATTGGACTGACAAAGTCTATTCATATCTATAATTAAAGTATTAAACGGTTTAAACCAACATAATGTTTTATTGAATGCTAATTATGTAAAAGACATTATATTTTAGGGGGTTTTGGTTCAGACCTAAATTTATTTATATTTTTTCTGAAAAAAAAAAAAAAAAAAAAAAAAAAAAAAAAAAAACTCAACAAATTTTTAAACTTTTTTTTTTCATTTTAGCCGGTTTGGGGGTGATCGTCTAGTAATACACAACTAATTTTCAAAAAATAAAAATCACCTTTTACAAACTCTTTTTTTGGAACACCGTTGCCTCATAATTATATGTTCTTTTGTTGTTATGGTCTTCTTATGGAAGAAGATTGGGGTTCGATTGCATATAATGCTTGTTAATTTGAAGACAAAAGGTTCTATACTATGTGAACTTAAATGAAATTATATCTAAATATGTTTCACATCTACAATTTAAAGACAAAGTGTTGTATGTTTTCTAACTGAAGGTTATGCATATGTTAATTTGAAAATGAATAACAATATAATGCCTAAAGAATTTGTTGATTTTGTTGTAAATGGTAGGATTATCGATCGAAAAACTAATCTCAAAAGGAATTTAATGAAATTATTATGGATTAAATCACTTTTAAGATTGAAATACTTCTAACATGGACAACATGAAATCTAAAATTAGATTTCCATACATAGATAAATGAGCTAATACAAAAAAAAAAAATAATAATAATAATAATAAAAAATAAAAAATAAAAAAAAAGAGTTGATAAAAAGGTGTTATTTTGGAAGAAAAAAAAAATTGTATTGGCACATAAAATTACTTGCAAACCAGCTAAATGTGCAAAACCAAAAAAAAAAATGTTTGGATATCTTTTAAAAAGAAAAATAAATAAATTTAGGTTCAACCGGAAAAAAAATCCAAAATATTGGACATTTTACATAATTAGTTTTTTATTACAAAACCAAGTCGTCATCCTGATTCCAATTTGGTTGTCATTCACATAAGGGTTGTGTTTGATTCTTACATAATAATTTTTATCCATACACAACAATTTATGTTATAAAAAATTATAAAATATACTAATTTAAAGCACAAGTTATTATTTGTGGAAAAAAAATCATGTACGAATCAACTACTTTCATTTAAATAAAAACATAATTATCAACAGTAAGATTTTATTTTGTAATAAAAAATATATAAAAATCCTATCTAATAAATAAATGTTTTTTACCATATATCATCACCTAATTGAATATGTCACATGATACTTTTTTAGTTTTTTCAATTTCATATAAATCCACTTTGCAAATTGTGGTTTTCTTGGTTTTGTTATTAAATTATAAAAAAATCTAATCTAAAAATATAATAAAGAAAATAAGAAAAACTTAAATATCTCCATAAATTCTCACATAATATGTCAATTAATGTATTAAATTCAAATCAACTTTCTTAATTGAAAAATATAATTTTCGGTTAATTCTTTTGAATTCACGCTAATTTGTAGAAACCTTGCAAAAATCGGTTTATTCGCGGCTAATATTGATATTTTTTCCAAATTCAGTTTTGTAAAATTTTGAACATTTAAAGCTTAACAAAATATATTATTTTTTTTAAATCCGTGTATTTCACAAGTCTCACACCTAGTTTATATCAAAACAAACTAATGTATTAATTCTAAATATAACACAAACTAAAAATATAATATAAATTAACAAATTTTCTGATTGTACATAAAATTATATTAATGTTTTTTTTTTAAATTAAAAACGAATAACTTATAACACATTAATCAGACAAAAGTTACAGTTTTTATCAAATTGACATCAGTCTAAGTCTCAATATGTTGCACCAACAAGGAAATTAAATACTTGCTTTAAGTTGCCTCTTGAAGGTCTAGCATTTACCGCATATTTACACACAAATATCAATCGTTGTCTCATATCTAACTTTGTTATTTGTGTCTCCTTAAACGATTTCCCATCATCATAAACACCTGTTAATAATTTCAATCTTTCTTTAAAAACACAAATTCACATTACAAAAGTCAACATCAAGTCAAACAAACATACCTTCAACATTGAATAATGAAATCAGTATAGCCAAGCACACACAAACACTTATATCTTCCCCTGAAAATTAAAAAATAATTTTTTTTTAAAATTTAGAATTTCATTATCTAGCTTTAAAAAGAAATTTAAAAAAAAAAAAAAAAAAAAAAAAAAATTATGTTTACCATTGTTGCAGCAGACTGCAAGCCTTTTTCCTCTTTTGAGGTGAAGCTTGGCGAAATGTAATGCGGAAGGTAGATTTCTTTGAAGAGAAAATCTATCGAATTTTGAATTCTGTAAAAAAAAAAGACAATTACGCCCCTATCCTTATCTATCAAATTTTGAATACTCAAATAAATGACAAATCGAACCATAATAGGCAGATGCAAATGGGCTTTAGAATCCTCAAGTGTACAAAGATCCTTATTTTGATCACAATTCAATACACAATCCACATCAAATGCCTTAAATTCTGCACAATATGAGAAACATCAAAGTATAAAGAAACTGAAACAAAAAAATATATATTAACATTAATTCTCATATATACAAAAAAGAAAAAACAAATTACCATATCCAGTTGCACACACTGCAAGATTAGTCAAACCCAACCAGTATATCAAATGTCCAGAATCACCATTCTCCATGATGATTTCTAAAGATTGATCTTGAAAATGAGATGAACTTTTGATCTCCATTTTTGTAGGTTTAATGGAGATCTGAGGAGCATTGTGACCCCTTTGAGCACGATAAACCCTATCTTTTTCAACAAAATCAGCCACTTTTTGGTTACACAAATCAGGTCCTGAATTAATTAAATCATAAACATTATTCCAAAATAATAATGGTGTTAACCCTCTTGCCCAACTCTCTTCATCATCTCCAGCTCCTGCTATGTAACTCCAGCTGAACTCAGAGCTTGTTTTTTGTCGATATATGTCATTTGAAGCAGATGAAGAAATGAGAATTATTGGTGTGAAATCCCATGAATTGTAATCAGGAACTTCGTTTAACCATATAACAGTTTTTTGTGAGATCCAAAGAGGTCTTAGAGGTTTTTTTAGTAAAGATGAGATAGAAGAAATATCAGCTCCACTTTCTTCCAATTGGTTAACCCATTTGTTTATGTTAGATTCTATCCTTGATTTCTCTGTATCGGGTACCCATAGAGGAAGATGTAAAGATGAATCCCATTGAGAAGAAGAAGAGCTCAACTGTATACATGTACACAACATTATTATATATGATGATCAATTGATCGTTGTAGAAAATAGAAATGAGGAAAACAGCTACTTACTTCATCGATTGGTGTATTGATTTTGTTTCTGTACTTCTGAATTGCACGATTCAACACACAAGTCCAAATTGGTATTGTTTTTGACATGCTGTCTGGAAATCTCTTGCCTTTACGAGTAGAATCAACTATCATACAGCCTCCCTTCTGTCCTATCCATGATAAAAGCAACAGAAACTTCAAACATTCTGCTACTACAAGATAAAGTGAACAAACATACTGATGAATTCATTACCTGAAAAAAATAAAAAACAAGAGCTCAGATCATAATGAACACATAAGCTAGATGTCATTAATGGAAATCAGATAATTAACATTAGTTTGTTATCTTCAAGTACAGTTAGAGGGGAAAAAAATCATGTTCCTAGCAAAAAATCTAACTATTTCGAATTTGAAAAGTAGAGATGCTGATCGGGAAATTTAAAGAGAATAACCTGCGAGAATTGCGACATGGAGATTGAGGCGAGAGGTATTGAACGACAAGTTGTTTGTGTGGCCATCTGTTGATTTGAAGTAGCAATTGGAATGGAATTTCTTGGCGTACCAGAGTCCGCAACGCAGGTTCGCTACAAGTGGTAGCTCAGGCCATAGCTGAGCTATCTCGGAGACGAAGATCGAGTCCTCGTGAATCGACCGCAGGGAATTGTATAAAGAGCTCTGTCTTCGCTTAATCGTCCTCGAAGCTCGGTAGATACTCATTGATGCCGTCTCCTCCGCCATTGATGATGGTCTAGGGTTTTGCAGAGGTTGGAGATGAGTTTCTGTTAAATGTTTGGTTTAATTTTAAAAACTGTCCCCCTCAGCGTTTAAAAATTGTCCCCATAGACCATAGTTATTAAAATTATGAATTTTTTAGAGTGGTTAAGATTTTATTAAGCTAACAAAATTTACATCAGATAAATTAAACTTAAAAATAAATAAATAAAAATAGATGTCGAAGCCATCCAATTGGAGGCGAAACTTACTATTTCTATTAGACATCCAAAAGAAGAAAGTTTGTGTAAAAAAATTCAAAACAAATCTAGAATGAAGTTTACTCAATGATAATCTTCAACCTAAAACTCTAACCTTGATGGACAATAACTTCTTCCATATAATAGGGCTCGGGTCAATAAGCAAAGAAATATTGTCAATGAAATATTTGCCTAGGAGAAGCCACAAAAAAAACACATATACCAACTCCAAAGCCACCATCTTCTTTCCGACTCATCACTTTACACCGATTAATCCATGTTATTTTAGAATCCAAAGAATTTATTATGAAAAGATTCAAAGAGTGGCGACGCTACATGCATCAAAGGTGCACCTATTTTTTTATTTTAATAAAGGATTTTATAAAAATATAAATTGTGAACTACCTTAAATATTTTAAATGAACCACCTTAATGCTTTGGGTAAAAACAAATAAGCATAAATCAAGATTTTCAAAACTTATCTTTATTTTTTATCGGTTTCATTTAAATAGTAAACTCTGTTGTTTTACATTCTAGACTCGTCACTGGATTCCAATGATTTAATAACAAAATGTGACATTTAAATAATAATGTATGGTAAGTTGGGAAGGAACCCAAAAACAGACTTAATAACGCGAGTCTTCCTCCCTCATATAGTGTCTTTGCTTTCCAAGTTGAAGGCTTACGTGCTCTTTGATTTTCTAAAGCAAAAATTCGTAAAGTCTGCGGACGACCTCTGCAACATCTGCAGTAGAAGAGGTAGATCAAACAGCTGCAGACTGTAATAAGAAGCGTGTTTGTTTTTTTAACATCTGCATACTGCTGTAGATATTAAAAAATTAAAATAAACTAATTTTGTAAAACCCAAAATAGTTTTTTAATACGTAAAATTTAATAATGCATAACATTTCAGCAAGAGTTAATGATATTTCAGTAAAAAAAAAAATATTTCAATAAAAATAAATATATTTTAGTAAAAAATAAAGATATTTTAGTAAAAAAAAATAATGATATTTCATTAAGAAATTATCATTATTGAATATAAAAAAACGAAAAAAAAAATCACAAGAATAAACAAAAAAAAAGTGAAATAAAATTTCAACAACATATAATCAAAATTCCAGCAAGAAAAAAAGAAGATGAAGAGGTTGGAAGAGGCAATACATGTGTTGCGCCAAACAGAGCAAGCACAAAGGTTTTTGACTTTGAAGACTTCTAAAAAACAAACAGATGCTAGATGAAAAGTGTTGCGCGTGTGTTGCGCCGCACAACAATAAGAGGTTTTTTCCAAAAAAAAACAAACAACACCTTAGACTTGAACTTGTTCACCTCTTCTTTCAAATAGTCAACTTTACACATATTACCCCGACCTTCAACCCAAGATACGAAAAAAGGATTTTTAATGTAAACACAACGAATAGAATTATCAATATTGATGCCGAACAATTTACTCTTTGTAGGTTAATCTTTAAGTCATTATCCAAGAAAAAAATAGAGCATGATCCAAATAAAATTATTAATATTTGACATCAATTACTCACCCCGAAAATGGTGTCGTCGGCACAGAAAAGATAGGAAATTTCCATAATTGAGCTACCTATGGAGAAGTCACTAAACACATCTCTAGAGGAATCTTGTTTGACACCTACATGAAGGGCTTCCAACACCACAATGAAAAGAAAATGAGAAAGCGGATCCCTTTGGTGCAATCCTTTACTAAATTGAAATTCCATAGTCAAAGAATCTTTTATCAAAAATGACATATGGAAGAGGTTAGACAACCTTGAATCCAACCTTGCATTTGGTAGCAAAACCCATTTTATGAAGTGCTTAATCTAGAAAATTCCAACAAATAGAAACATGTGCTTTTTCAAAGTTGGCTTTGAAAAGCATGTCTTTTTTCGATGAGATTTGCACCAAGCAACTATCTTATTAAATATTGGAGGCTCATTGACAAACTTTAACGAAGGTTGACTATTACTCACAAATGAATCAATGACAAAGATCAATCGATTAGCTAATAATTTGCCAATAATTTTATATCAACAAACCTATCAAACTAATTGGCATAATTCACCTATTTGTATGCTCTACCACATTTTGTAATTGTTATATTAACTTCTAGTGTGTTCGTCTATTTGAACCACCAAATAATTCAATCATTTCATCACTAAAAAAGTTATCTTTCAATCGAATGATGAGTCTTGATTGTTCTTTGAAAAATTAAATATCATCTTATCTATTGCTCCTACCTATTTAAGATGATGATAAGTATACAAATTTAACATCTCAATCAAATTTAAATTAAATTTAATGATATTTGTTATCATCTAAAATAGATAGGAAGAAAATAGAAGGATATTTAATTTCTTTTGTTCTTTTGTCGTTCCATGATTCATTTAAAAGTATTTATGGCTAAGATATGCATTGGAGGTTCAGATTTCACAAATGTTATCAATTTAATTTTAAAGTAGGAGGATATTTAAATAAGGTTTTCTAGTGGGAAAAGGTCTTAAACGAATCGACTAACAACTATAAATGAACTTTATTGAATTATAACAAGAACAACAAATGATAACACAAAGTTAACTAAACTATCCCATTAACTTGCTCACTATTTGCGTACACAATTCCTTTATCTATGAAGATAGCAATATAAATATTTATCTCAATCTTATGATAACTTTTCTTTAGTCAATCAAATAATCTTATCATTTATCGAATTTTAGAAGCATTCTTGACAGCAGATGCAGGATTGATAGCTTTTCTAATCTTGACAACATTCCAAGCAGTGCCAGCAACATGTCCTACAGTTGCAATCGCATCACCAGTTGCTTCTCCTGCCTCTTCGCCATACCTGTTTTTCTCGTTATAAACACATCAAGACATGGTGAATTATAAAATATACCAACATCGATCATACTATACAATAATTTGTACAGAATCACTCGTTTTCTTTTTCAACTTTAATTAGTCTATCTTTAGCATATTTATATTTCAAATATTGGTTAAGTTGCAACTAAATATAATAAGTATATGATAGTTTAGACACGTTTCTTCCAACAATAAAAGGTAAAATGGTATCATCCAACGAAAATCAAATCATAAATATACAAGTGCCCTTTAATTCACAAAATAAAGTAATCTTTGTGGACTCAAATCAATATTCAATAGTCAATACCATGCATACAAATAATACAAAATATTTTCGTTTATTAATTCATATTATATATTTATATTAGTAATTTAATATAATAAATTCATTATTTTATATTATTTAGGTTAAAACAATTTATAACGGATAACACATCCATCAAAATTATTTATAACGGATGACACACTTCCAATATACTATATATATATATATATATATATATATATATATATATATATATATATATATATATATATATATATATATATATATATATATATATATATATATATATATATATATATATATTTTTGGTAAATGTTACATAAAAGGGTAGAAAATGGTAAGTATATTACATTAAATGGTTAAAAATGATCATTTGGGTTAAAGATTAAATAAGTAAAAAAAAATCGCAAAAATTAGCAAAACGGATGGTCGATCTAACAAAATGATCATATTGACATTTTGACAAAACGACAACCACTTGTGAGATCAATTATTGTGAATTTTAAAATTGATTTATAAATAGTCTCACCATAAAAAACAAATTTTATATTGCAATTATATTATGAAATTGTTCATATTTGCGAAATAATTGTGTTATTTTGTAACGAAATAGTCCTTTTCAGCCTTTAATAAGGTTTTTTTTGCACCGTAAAAGTAATTTCATTGAATTTTTTGCATTAGTCTTGTTATGAAATAAGTAACCATCTTGTTTTAAAGAATAGGACACTTCACAAATGAATTGGTCGTTTTAATAATTATCTCTCAAAAAATATATTGAATGGATTGATAAAATCATAAAATATAACGGATTTTGAGGGTGAACTCTCTATTAATAAGGGTTGATTAATGTCACAAATCAATAATATACATATTGCTTTTAGATCATTTATCTTTTAATTGTATTTATTATTTCACTAAACTTTTTTTTTTTCCTTTTCTCTTTTCATTTTTCTGGATTCCCATTACAATATTACGAATTTACGATCCAATTAAACTGATACATAGAGCGTGTTTGGCAAAAGTAGCTGTTAACTGGAAGCGGGTAGAGGTTAGCTGGTAGCATGTAGCTGGTAGCTGGTAGCGGAAAGCTGTAGCTTTTATTTGTTATATGAATGTTTGGCAAAAGGAGCTGGAAGCTTTTGAAATATATAAAATTACATAAAAGGACAATTGATTAAAAATAAAAAAAGTATATAAATATATTTTTAAGGGTAATTATGGAAATTGATTTCAAAAGCTCCGGAGCGTTTTGTTAAAAGCTACATGAAGTAGCTTTTAGAATCGGAGTGTTTTGATAAAACTAAAAGCTAAACGCTCGTACTGCCAAACGAAGCTTTTTGTTTAAACTAGAGCGTTTTGTCAAAAGCTAAAAGCTAGAAGCTCCTAAACGCTTCCAAAAGCTCTATGCCAAACACGCCCATAATCCTATGTGGTGTCTATCATGAGTTCATGACATTCAGTGTAACAAAATTTGTTCGTTACACCTAATGTTGAGATTGCACTTGACATTCGATATAGTAGAATTTCCCGATTAAATGCATTTTAATGGTGTAATGAGAACCAAAAAAAATTAGTATATTGAATACAATTAAAATATAAGTGATCTATAAAGCAAATTTGGTGTTGGTGGTTGTCATTTTATGATCTATTGATCTTAACCCTTATAATAATAATTGTGAATGAATAAATAAAATTTTAATTCAGAAACATTTTACAAAATGAAATATTGTAAATTTTGGTCTAACCTTTCACTGACTGCTCGAGCTGCAGCATCAGATGTGGCAGCTAAGGCTTGTCTTTGAGCAACTTCAGCTGCATCCATCACTATATCTGCAAAAATTCCAACAAATTAAAATATGATTTAGTTTTTTCTAATTTAGTTTGGATTAAAATCGGAATTTAATTTTTGGTTTGTTTTTTCATAGGGATGTAGTTAATTATCACTAATATTTGTATTTATATTAATGTTGTTTTGATAAAAAGTTATCATTCTATTATTGTAAATTGTAATATTATGTTTTAAACCAAATTAATCAGACTTAATTAGAACTTGGTTTTTGATTTGGTTAAATACATATTATTCGGTTTGGTTTGAAAAATAATTTGAATCCGAAGAACGAACACATTAACATCATTGATCGTTCGCATCCATCAATCTAAATAGGGCAAATACAAAAAAAGAAGAATGAACTTTTATTTAAGTTTAATATTTGGGAATCAAAGTTTCCAAATATCAAGACAATGCTTAAAACTTTAGAAAAGTTTCATTTAGATTTATGACCTAAACTGATTGTATATTTACATTTTAGGTTTTCGTGAACATACATAGTATAAGATTTTTTTTTTGACAAAGCTTTTTTATGTCACCTCATTGATAAATCACCAACCTTTTTTTACAAACACTCACTATACAAGAGTTTTTTCATATAATATTCTTTTGAGTTGTTCCACATAATTATTATATAAACGAATTCAATGAAAATATATATAATAGGTAAATTACAATAAATATATAGTTTATTCAGTTATAAAAAGATATATATTAGAAATTAAACAAAAGTAGATCGAATGTTTGCAAGTCAATGACACTATTTTAAGAGGGAACATTATTTTAATTATCTTTTATATAACTAATTTATAGGAGATAAAAATAAACAAAAAGACTTGTGAAAATGAATTTATATACTTTTTTGTGGAAGTTATAGGAGAAAAAAAAATACTTACTAATAGCATCAAGAGAGGCAAGCACAACTTCCCCTGGAACTGAGTTAAAAAATGCCTTCCCAGCTCGAGACCGAACTGCAGGACCCATGACCGAACCCGATGCCATTCCAACTCCATTCAACAAAGCTTTACTCATGCTTTCGGTCATCTTTGAGAGTTTTCTTGCGCTAAATATACACACATATATTTCAATGAGCTAAAAAGAAGTATCTCAATCTAGATATCAATTGTTAAAACAATAATAACATGACAAATACTTGGAAAAAAACACATGAAATTTAATTTTTAAATGTGCATAACATTTGATCGTGGTGATGTTACCAAATTTATAATAAGCCCATGAAAAAGTCTTGATGAAATTGAAATTCCACCTTTTGAAATTTGGCTCCCATTTTTCGGAGTAGGCAAAAAGAAACTAAGAAATTAGAAAGAGTAAAAGGACATAAATGGGTCATTTAACCAATACTTTTTGTTACGTGTTTTTTAGTTGGGGAAAAAAAAAGCGGACATGTTATAGTTATCTTTCGTGTTCTTGAGTTGAAAAAGAAATGATTTAAAGCTGACAATCTAACATCTATGTAGTGGCTTCTTTATTTAAAACGTCTAAATTTTTTCCATTTTCATTGGAGCTATATGCATAAAAAGACATTGTATAGTGGCACTATTTGCTCTTGGGATATATACAGTAAAGTTCTAATATTTTCATCGATTTGACAAAAAAGTCCTAAATTTTATTTTTTTACAGTAAAGTCCAAATTACCGGCAGTTTTTGACACTTTTACCCTTTTTCCCCGGTTAGCCGGTAAATAGGACTTTTTTGACAACAAAATAAAGTTTAGGACTTTCTTGTCAAATCGTCAATTAGAACATTACTGTCAAAAAAATAAAGTTTAGGACTTTTTTGTCAAATCGTTGAAAATATTAGGACTTTAGTGTATATTTATTTTATTTTTTTGTTAGAAATTTAATGGTGTGATACTCTTTAAGCATAAGAGTTATTGAAACCTTCTCTAATCTGCTAGATCCTATTGAATTTCTTTACATTTGCTTCTTGTTAAATCGTTTTTTTAATCTCAACAAACCGACATTAAAAAAATGAGATAATCAAGAAAGAACCAGGGTTGTGTTGGCTTTTTGCAGTCTCAAAAATGGAGAAAAAAACCGAAAAAAATGAAATAGTACAACCCTGGTTCTTTCTTTATTTCTTGATTATCTTAATTTTTTTTCAATGTCGGTTTGTTGAAAAAAAAAACGATTTAACAAGAAACAAACGTAAAGGATTTCAATAGGATTAGCTGATTAGAGAAAGTTTCAATAACTCTTATGTTTAAAGAGTATCATACCATTAAACTTCTAACAAAAAAAATTATATATACACTAAAGTCTCAATATTTTCAACGATTTGACAAAAAAGTCCTAAACTTTATTTTTTTGACAGTAAAGTCCTAATTGACGATTTGACAAGAAAGTCTTAAACTTTATTTTGTTGACAAAAAAGTCCTAATTACCGGCTAACTTGGGAAAAAGGGTAAAAGTGTCAAAAACTACCGGTAATTTGGACTTTACTGTCAAAAAAATAAAGTTTAGGACTTTCTTGTTAAATCGATGAAAATATTGGGACTTTACTGTATATATCCCTTTGCTCTTTAACCATTGTGAATCAAATTATTCATATAAATATCCAAGTTTAACAAAAAAAATTCTAATATAAACACTAAAACATATTATAGACGGTTAAAATGGTTGATATGTGGACTCTTGCCAAAAATTGGATGACTTTAATGAACATTTCGATCACTCAACTCAACGTAAAAATAGTCAATTTTAAGTACTGGTTTTTTTGTAAAAAAATCATAAAAATAAAAAATATACTGGCTTTTATCTATCATTTTAATTTTTCTCAAAATCTTAGTCTCAATCATTTCTTTTACTTTTTTTTACTTCCAAAAAACAAACCATAATTTCTTTCCCTTTTTTCTTTCTTTCCAAATCACTTCCTTTTTTTTCTTCTCTTTTTAACCTAGAAAAATTTATGTGCTTCTACCCTATCCTAAAAGCATACAATTAATTTGGAAGATTTAATTCACCTTCTTAAGCTTTTGTTGATCCCATCCCCCTTTTTTGTACCATTGGTTTTGTTGCTTTCGATAGTTTTAGTTCTTGAGATGCCATGCTTTTCCTCCATTGCCTCTTTTAAGATCATATCACCTCCTTTTTGCAACTATTTTGGATCCATAATTCAACAATTATCATTTACAAGTCCATGATAATTATTGGAAAAACGAATGTATTAGTGTAACGAATATAAGATCACATATTATAGTAACAAGAATTTTAGTACTTTGATTCGTTAATAATACACTTTTTCAGAAAGAGGTTGATCCACACATAATAATTTTTTATCGTATACAACAAATTATGTTTTAAATGGATGTATAATATACGAATTATACATGCAAATAAAACACAACTTAAAAGTTGTTGTACTATCGCTTTCTCTTTTTAAGAAGAGTGACTCCTATGTAAGTCTAGGCATGCATGCACATGAAAGTCAAAGTTTGGACGTGCATGTCTTAAAGACCTTTTGTAGAGTTCTATATTGTAGAAATAAAACATAAATTTTGTCTTATAAGTTATATTGCGTACTCTCAAAATATATTTATTATGGCAACGAATGTATTGGTCAAAATCAAGGATCGTTCAATACTCGTGCTTTTAATTGGATGACAAATATGGAATGAAAAATACAAATGAAAAAGTGGATTAATTTCGTTTATAGTTTATTGATCAAGGATTAAATGATTAAAAGAAAAACTAAAGCTAAAACGGGTGGAAAGTCGCCCAAATGTATTGATATGTTTATAGTAAGATTTCAAAATCTATTTTTTAAAATGATTAATGTTATAGATGGAGAATGAACTTTTTTTTAAACACTATTGTATTAAAAAAAAATGTTATCACAAGGTAAATAACTGGAACTTTGTGTTCGCAAAGATACCATTATTTCTATGATATTTAGTGAAGAAAAACAAATTGTTCGTTACGTATTTGCGATATTTTTTGAAACAATGATTTTGTTAGAATACAAATGGTTTGTTGATAGGAACATAACATTGTCCCTTTGAAAAAAAAACAGATTAATATATTTGTATATAGTTTTTTGATTATATTTAGTACATTAATTACTCAAGATATTCAAAACAAAAAATTGGAGGTAATAAAACCTGGTTGGTATAAGCATTGCTACACATAAAAATCCCTCTAACAATCTGACCGGTTCCTCCCGCAATCGCCTTTGCAAGAACATTATTATAAGCATCGATTTTAGGAGCAAACTCCTTCCAATCGATATCTGTCTTTCTTGAAACCGAAGAAGTTGAAAAACATGAATGTTCTTTCAAAAACTTATCCAACATTGTTAAATTATTCTCATTATCAATCTTTGGAAAGGTGACACCATAGCTCAAAGGATCCTGACCTTTGATCACGGGTAACGTGAACAAGTAGTGGTGAGGATCAAGCTTCACTACCGGCTCATCTTTTGTTAAAGGCCATTGAAGATCATCACCAATTTTAATAATGGTTGCTAGAAGAATGTTGTCATTGGATATTTGAAATAGTGTGAAGTTTCCATTTGCAAGCTCAACGGCTTCGCCTTCGTCCATTATATGAACTTTGGAATTGGGGATTGATAGGAGGGTTTCGTGTTTGGCGGTTTGTGGTTGCGGGAGGTGGTTTGTGGTGGTTTGTGGCGGCATTGGTGGTGGTGTGGTTCGGGGAGGGGAGAGTGTTCTTGGTTTCTTGGTTCCACAACAAATCATTTTGTTTCAAATTGTTGGTTTGGATTTTTGGTTTGTTGTCCTATTGGTGATGTTGAAATGGATTGTGTTTATTGTAAAGAAAATTGGATGGGGGTGGGGGTAAAAGGGTAATTTGACAACGAGAGTCGAGAGGGAATTAAGGCTTTAATTGATGCTTTTTGCTAGGACCTTTTTCATATTCTTAACTTTGGTATATTTAACTTTCGGTGGAGGGAAGATGGATAATATGGTTTCCTTATTTGTTTTTAAGGTTTTTATTTCAAATAAATATTGCCGGGATAAAATATTATATGAGTAATTCATATCTTTTGAAGGAAAATTCTAACACCATTTGTCTCGAATCATTCCTTTCCCAAGTTAAAAAAAAAAAATGTTGTTGGTCATGTGTGTGAATACCAAATTCTAGGATAAGGGGAGCCGATTTAAATATCAATTTTAACTAGTAATCAGTAGAGCTAGAGTGTCACGTGGAATTTAGTTATTTGATAGTTTTTTATTAATCAATAGATGTAAGACCTGTATACTACATGGATATATTGAAAATAAAATTTTAATTATCTATGTGTAAACATTAAGAATTTTTTAAAATAATACTTTACATAAATACAAATAATATAATGAATAAGTTAGCAATTCAATCTATAATAATAAAAAACTATTAACATATTTTAAATACAAACACATGATTTTTAGATAAATTTTTAGATAATCAAAACATATATGTAAAAAAAATATTGTGTCTAGGAGCTTAAATTTAAGAAATAAGGAATTCACCTTGGTTTATTTTTTATTAAATATATTTATTATATTAAATATAGTTGATTACTAATTAATAGATGACAATTTATTAATTGGCATTTTAATAAAAAGGAAAAACATACAATAATAACATGTGCGTATTAATTAATTCAAAATTATCAAAAACTTTCATTTGTAAAATTGAATGAGAAGATAATTTTGATTTATTATGATAGATTATAAATAGTAATATATTAAATATGATTACAAAACATATATTATTAGAATAACAATATAAATTCATTTAAATAAAATGATTTACGATATTATA